TATTTGCTTAAAACTAAGCAAACACACATACGTATTACAAGTACGATTAATGGAGACACAAAATACTTAGATATTATTTAAGGATTATTCCAAACAATTTTTATATTTATTTTTTCTTGACTTTTATTAGTATCTTGTTTCAAATACGCAAACTANTTTGCAAAGCAGAGCAACCGAGCCATCTGGTTTCTGGTTCCTATTCTGTTGTTTGTTAGATAAGGCAAACAAATCAAACCAGCAATTTTTCTACCCTTTTTATTCGATTTTATCGATTCCTCGTTCTCTTGAAATTATTTTTCACAAAAAAAAAGTAATATAAAAGAAATTACACAACTAAAATATATTTTAATTCCATTTTATTTTTAATACTGAATTTTGTAATATAAAAGAAATATCGTTTACGTATTTACATGACAACATGATATTGAAATAATTATTTTTTCGATTACGAAGAATTTAGTTGATTTTAAGTAAGTCAGTTATTTACTTAATAATTATTATAATAAAATGAGTAGTGAGATTTACTTAACTATCTTTTTCCTCTGACCTATTTAATTATCAATTATTTTCATTAACAAACCTATTTAATTATCAATTATTTTCATTAACTACTTGTTAATAATTGTTATTATTCAGAATAATTATTCATTAATGACTTTTTCAAACGGATTATTTTCTTGCTAGATAATTGACCTTTCCATTTTTAATTGACTAAATGGTACAAGTAATAAAAAAGTAAATTACACAATAAAATATATTTTTAATTCTATTTTATTTCTAATACTGAATTTTGTAATACAAAATAAATATTGTTTACATATTCACATACAACTTGATATTGAAATATTATTTGTTTTTTAATTATGAAAAATTTAGTTCATTTTAGGTTAAACTCATTCCGATATCCCTATTTTCGTGGAGTTATCCTAGTTTTGGAGACGTGGTTACCTGTGAGGGTGACGTGGATAATTTTGGAGACGTGGTGTGCACATACCCTTATACGTGACTTTCTATTAACGAAACCCTTATACGTGACATTTTCTAAACGAAACATTTAAAAAATTGGGGTTTTTCTGAAAGATTTTAAAATTATGATTAATTGAAATTTGAACTGAGAAGATAAACTCTGAAGCTTCAAATTGGCAGGACGTCATCCATCGAAGCATCTTCATTCTGCGTTAATCATCAAGGCCAGATTCACCTGCAAACAGAAACCAACCCACAATTGTGCCTCCGCAACAACAAAAATCACCATCTTCATCATGAACCAAAAGACGCGAAGCTCCTCGCATGGCCTTCATCTCCTTCGCACAACCGGCATTAGAAATCAGGACTAGAGAAAAGCAAATTCGCGCAACAGCCCAAGAACTCCAAATCAAACCCTACGAAGAATCCTAAGCGCAAATTTCATCTACCCGTCTTCTCCATCTCGCGCCACTCAAACCTTCATCCGACAACCATGGCAACCAATCAATCCAGAATCGCGTCACCCAGGAAACCATCAACACCAGTTTCACTGAAGCCATGGCAGAACGCGAGCGGTCGCAAAAGCAAGAGAGCATTCTCCCCTTGCCAATTCTCTTCCCAATTTTAAACCCAATTTTGAAGACTCGTTGTTCTTTGCAATTCCACAATTTAATGCACAACAAGAACTTAATATCTAGGGGCACCAAAGTTCCACCAGGTTTTTGACTAAATCCAAACACTTGAACCAGTTGCTTGCCTGCCTACCACATCGTTTGAACCAGCAACAAAAATGCACCTAGAGATTAAAAAATCATGTAATGATCATGCGAATACAGTAATGTCTCAACTCAAGGAACAATGAAAACAGAACAATCGATGACTACAATGGAGTTTGAAAAGAGGTAGTAGAAGAGGAGACATATATCCGTGACACAAGAAATCTGAAATCAAAGCCCAGAGTTTTTCAGATGAAACTATGCAATCTCAACAGAGTACTTATGAATGCAATCTTCTCAGGGACTCTTGGGTGAGGGATTCACGTGTCTGAGAGCTTCCCACACTGCACTGTTACACTTGAATCCACTCTCGGACACAATCTGCCACACTTTGTTCCCCTTGCACCGTTTCACCAACGTCGGCAGACCTCACGCTCTTATATCGGGAAGTCCTAATCTCTGTCGCGCTGATAGCAGCTGCGTCGTTTTGGTCCACCGCTTTATTCCTCGTCATCATGGCCGCCGCTTCCAAAGCTTCTCCGATGGTTATGGGGTCGCCAGCTATGGCATCAGAATCGCTATGCCCAATTTTAAACCCAATTAAAATTTAAATGAACCTTAATTTTAAAATCTTTCAGAAAAATCCCAATTTTTAAAATGTTTCATTTAGAAAATGTCACGTGATTAATAAAAACCACGTATAACGTTCTCTGCAAGCCATGTTTGAAATAATATCCACTCCACCCTCACACGTCATAAAAAATTTAACGGGGTTAACTTGATTTAACGGCAGAGGCTCAATTGAGCCAATTTTTCAATAAAAAGGATCAAATTGGCAAAAGTGAAAAGACAGGAATGTAATTGAGACAACCCCACAAAAATAAGGACCTCCAAATATGTTTAACAATCTCTTCTACTAATCTTCTTAGTATTTGCAACCTTAAACTTTTATTCTTTGACTTTACCTTTTTTTCACCAACTAAAACCATATTTGCAAAACCCTTGACAATTTTTTCAATTCCTGCTCAACCAATCTCAATTTGAGTAAAGTTTAAATGTGCAAGGGAAAACTCCATGAACAACTAACACCACAACATTTTGTCCCATCCTCACCAACTCCTTTAAGTAACTTGTTTCATTAAAGGAAACTCAAAATTTGATTTAAGCATTTTTGTCGAGCACGTGAAATGCATCACGAATGCAATCCAAATTAAGAAAGTTAGGAAGATAATAGACTATAAACTTTAAGGGTGAGACACTCCATTGTTGTCATTATCCTTGATATTTGCTTAAAACTAAGCAAACACACATACGTATTACAAGTACGATTAATGGAGACACAAAATACTTAGATATTATTTAAGGATTATTCCAAACAATTTTTATATTTATTTTTTCTTGACTTTTATTAGTATCTTGTTTCAAATACGCAAACTAAATATAATAACATAAAATAGTCATTTAGTCACCTAACTTACGATATAAAATAACTTATAAAACACTATATTAGACCACATAACTTACGATATAAAATAATTTACACTATATTAGTATATTAGACTAGGTACAACAAAAAAATTACATCAGTGAGATCTAATATAAATATTTGTTTTACGTCGGTCACTAATAAGTTCAATATAATTTTTATTTTAATTTTCACTTATAGATTTTTTCTCTTCATTTTTCTTTGCATAAAAACAAATTGAAAATGTTTTCTAGTGACAAAAATAGTGTTGGTTTGGAATTTATTTTTAATCAAATATTTTTATTTCGTGATGGATTTCTCATGGAACAACCTTCTTTTCAATTTATTTTGTCATTGATATTTGTTTGTTAAACTTTTCATTTTTTTTATTACATTGATTGTTTTTTAAAAATTAAATCATATTTTTTTATGAATGTCCTTTATTCTGTATCGTGTTTGTCAATGGAATATAATATTTTAGTTATAAAAAATGTGCCTTTTGAACTTTAATGATATTTAAAGAATTCAAAATACATTGAGTAAATAATACAATTTTATACGGACTAATCAAGTAATTTAATTATTAAGTATCTATTATTTTTATTTTGTTATTAATTATTATCCCATGCCATTATTGTTGTATACTTTACGTGAAAAATAAATATAATATAATTAAATTTGAAATCTTTCATAAATTTTGTTAGTTCAAATTATTTTATTTTTTACTTAAAAAATTAATTATATGAAAGTATTTAAAATCTAAAATTGTTATATTTTTAAATTAAGTCTTCATTATTTTATTTTATTTTCAAGTAAAGTGACATAATTGTTTGATTATTCACATGCTCGAATAACAAGTCACCTAAATCTTTTTTTTTTTATAAAAAATAATGTCATATCAATTTTTGAAATTAAATACTGAAACGTAAATTAAACCAACCACGTATAGTAAATAAAGTCATTTGACAAGGATGCTTAAGGTTTTAAAGGTTAATTTTTCCTATTGTTTGAGTTTGTAGTGTTGTATTTGAAACTATGATATTTAAGAGAAGTCGATGACAAAACATTAATTAAAAAATACAATTTATTTAAATATTCAATGCAATAAATGTTTTAATAAGAATTTAAATAAAAATACTTAAATTTATAATCACATCAACCTAATTGATGACAAAATCAAATGGTACTAAATATTGTGATAATTAACACACATTTTTCTTATTTTATATATGCTATATTTTTTAATATTATAAATCTAATACTAATACATATATTTTTATTTTTAGTTTATATTTCTTGTTGCTATGTAATGTTTTCTTTGACTTGTTTGTAAAATGTTTTGTTTGATAACATGTTTAATGTCACACACATACAAATATATATATATATATATATATATATATATATATATATATATATATATATATATATATATATTATATATATCATGTCCAATAAATATGTTTGTTTTCCTTAAGAAATTTAAAGTTTTATTTTTATTTTATTTTAATTCTTTTACTTTTAAAATATTTTAATTCATCATACATACAAGGTATTTTTAAGGCATTTTAATTCATTATATATGTTGTTGAAGGCCTTTTAATTGTATTCTTACATGTATTTTTCTAATTCATTTATTGTCATGCGTTCTTATTTGAAATTTTTTGTAATATTATTTTTTTTATCATATTATTTATAAATTTTAATTTAATCAACATTTATAATAGCTACAGAATAGTTTGCAGCTCGTTTCACACTCATATTTGGAAATGGGCTTTCATTATTGGGTCTAAACATTGACTGTGGCCAACCCAACACCATAGAGTTTTTATTTTTAATATAAAAATGAAAAAAAAAAGTTTAGGGTTTTTGCAGGCTTGCTCGTTGATATAAAAGGTAGTCCTTATCTCCTCTTATTGTTTAGGTTTTCTTAGCGAGTGTTACCCTTTGCTCTCAGTACTGAGCTTAATCCAACTTCACAAAGGTACCGATTTTATTGCTCTACTATTCTATCACCCAATTTCATCTTTCTTTCCTGTGCCATGTCAAGTTTTGCGTTAATTATTGGGTTAATCGGTTTCTAAGCGGTTTTGTTTTGTCCTTACTGTACTGTTTTGATGATGTCATGATTGCGGGTTCTATCTGATTTCATTTATCTGAATTTGGTCATTTTATTGGGATTTGTATAACATTTATATCCTCTTTAACATGTGGGATTTTGGAAATAAAGGATTTTAAGTTGCAATGATTTCTTGCATCATTTGGTTTTAGGGCTTGTAGGATTTCGAATCACAATTTTTGTTTTTCAATTTCGAACTGGTTTTTGGTAGATAGTATATCGAAGATTGTTTTAGTGGATAGGTTGTGTGAAGCTGTGACATGGAATCAATTGAGGGTTATAATGTGTAGGGCAAGATGATTTTAGTGAAGATTGTTAATTGTATTTTACATTTCCTCCGAGGATGAACAAAATGAACTTTCGTTCTTCTGAGTTGTTTCCAATGCGGAAAATTACTGGAGACCTGAACTGAGGAGGCTGTGTGAAATGTTCTTATGTATTTTGTATGTTATTTTATTCTTCTTCTTTTTTTTCGGGTTGCATGTTGTTTTTTTCAATTCTCAATGTTCTTTATCGTAACGCTTTATTTAACGTAGGAGTATCACCTTGATACGATATGAGCTTGTATTTAGATGAATTCACATTGTGTCCAAGTTTAGGAGTTTTGTCTTGTTTTGATGAGCAGCACGGCATCGTCAAAAACCATTTATTTAGTTTCAGTATTGAACATATCTACTTTAGATCTGTTCTGAATTTGGGTGTGCATTTAATTATTTGTCGGGTGCTAAGTAAAGTCCATATAAAATTACTTCTGCTGTGCTGTTAGCATTTGATTCATGCATGATTCAATTATACAATGTAGCCTGATTATACTTTTGCATGTTGCATGTCACTGCATTTTAAATTGAATCTACAACCAAGTTTGTAAATCGGTCTTTTGTCTTGTTTTTTGTCTTAAATTTCCTCACCATTCATTTTTGGATCTTTCTATGTTCCTAGTTGACTAGGATGAAATTTATTTTTTTCCTTCTTTGTCTTTACCCAGATGAATCGGGAAAAGTTGATGAAGATGGCTGGTTCGGTTAGAACTGGAGGGAAGGGTACCGTGAGAAGGTATTTCCATACATTTAACTTGTTTTTTTCATTTCGATTAAAGCTAGTTTTCTTAGTGTACTGACAATTTTGGATTTTGACATGTTTACCTTATCATCTGTGATTGGATTTGACATTATCTTGTACAGACATTCTTTTTTTAGCTTTCTCCTCGCTCCCCCTTTTCACTATGCACTTATTTGAGGGATTATTATCAATTTGTTGGCTTTTTCTTTTTTCGGAAATAAACACTGTGCATCATATATTAGGTTGAATTTTCAAATGATGTTTTCTCTTTTTTCAGAAAGAAGAAGGCCGTCCACAAGACCACAACCACAGATGACAAAAGGCTTCAGAGCACTCTGAAGAGAATAGGGGTGAATGCCATTCCTGCAATTGAGGAGGTCAATATCTTTAAGGATGATGTAGTTATCCAGTTTCTAAATCCCAAAGGTAGTGTCAGTTCAAAATACTTATAAATTTTAATATAATAGGCTATATGATTTGCTTCAATCATATTAAGTTGGATTTTTTTCTTACAGTTCAAGCATCTATTGCTGCAAACACTTGGGTTGTCAGTGGTTCTCCACAAACAAAGAGTAAGCAACTATTTCTATTCTCTTTATTGTCGTATGCCCTCTTTTCCACGAGTATTTTCAATTTATTTGTAAATGTTGCAAAATAATATTAAATTAAAAAAAAAAAAGTGGCTGTGTCAAATCTTCATGTTTTTCTAATTAGACATTAATGCATTAAGGGCACAAGCAACTATGGTTAAATTGGAAATGAAATATCCGGGGATTGTTCTATAAGTTGGACTATGCCAACACTTCGCTTTGTCCAATTTCTTGATTACTAGATAGACGTGTATTTGGTTCAGTTTATTTCAGACAGATATTTGCTTGTTTTTCTCATTAGGCTTTAATGCATTAAGAACACAAGTGCCTCTGTTTAGATTGACATTGAAATATCCGGCAATTGTTATAAGTTGGACTATACCAACGCATTGCTTCCTCTAATTTCTAGAGTACTAGACAGCCGTGTATTTGCTTATTTTTATCAACATTTTTGAAAAACAAGCAATTAGTAATTAATGAAATTTGACATGAAACTTTTTTCCTTTACAGAGTTGCAGGATATACTCCCCAGCATTATCCACCAATTAGGTATGTTTTCTGAATTTGTTTGTAAGTTGTCTAATGGTGTTTCTCGTGCCTCAATCTAATATTTTTGATTATTAAAATGCAGGACCAGATAACCTAGAAAATCTTAAGAAGCTTGCGGAGCAGTTTCAGAAGCAGGCTCCCGAAGGAGCTGCTGGCTCAGCAGAAGCTCAAGAGGAGAATGACGACGACGTCCCAGAGCTTGTTGCAGGACAGGATTTTGAGACAGCTGCCGAGGAGACCAAGGCATCTTAGACTGTTATTGTTATTGTGCCCATCGTTATATATTCTGTGTTTTTAATTTTTTTTTCTTGATTTACCATTAAGTATTTCAGGTGTTCAGTTCTCCTGTCATATACTTTAAACACTTAAAACCCTCTATTAAATCTGCTTTCCTCCATCTAACTAGGTATACCTGACATGTCATCTTGCATTATTCACTGTTTGATAGTTAGTCTCTAGTATTCAAATCCTCCCTGTTTTGTCTCACTCTTGGCTTTGATATAAAGTTAGTTTTGATGGATTATTTTCGAAAATTTAGATGGAACAAGTATATTGCGCTTTTCTATTCATATCGTGCACATCATAATTCACATTTAGGATTTAATTATGTTATGATTGATGTACTCCAAACAGAAACAGTCCATGCCCACTAACTCCTTGTTGAATCAGGTACTCAGTCTTCACGAACGTGGTTGTAATGGTCTCTTGTAGAATGAAAATTGTTGTCTAAATTTGTCTTAACTGAACATTGGTTTAGAATTCGAAGTGATCCCAACTGTAATTTGCTGTATGAACTGTTTCTGTAAAATGGTTCAGACGAATTATTTATATACAGTGGTTTGATTTGGCTTCTTGAAAAACACTTGAACTGGATCAATTAAAAAGCTCTAATAAAAATATCATTAAATAGTTTGTTCTTCAAATAAAAGCGAAAAAAAATACCGTGTATGTAACTAAATTTTCTACTATTTTCTTTGACATCAATTGGTGGTTAACCATAGATAAATTGTGTATTTATACGTGGCCCAACAAGTAGTAAGTTAAATTTTAATGTTTATATTATTTTTTATTGTGTATTTTTTTAAAAAAATGCCTATACTGTTATAAAATTTTAATTTTAGAAGTTACGTTCTTTTTAGGGGATGAAAAGATAATTTTTCCTTACTTTTCCATTACTATTGTTTAACATAATTTATTTTATTTTCTTTTTAATATTTGTGACTACTCTTTCGTGGTGGGTGTCGCGTGTATTAGTTGGGGAATTAGGGTTAAGTTAGTAGAAAAGAATTCTCCTTTTACGGACTATTTATTTTTGTGGTGATTGTGAGATTGCGATAGTGAAAGTAGTGTATAATTTTATAATAGAATTTACTTAATTCATAAAATTATTAGATGAAAAGGATGGAGAATAAATAAGTGGTATCGCATTCACATTTGCAATCGTAAGAGTTTATTTAATACTTTTTAATGAAAAAGTAGATAAAATCTTTTAAAAAATGCATATTAAATAATTCAAATTAAATATTTTCTCTGAATTTCTCTTAATTATGTCAGACCCCAACATTTAAATCATAATTTGTGTTTGATTAGATGACAAAAAATATCCACACTTTAAAATAATCATTTTTTATTTTCCAACTTTATTTTTATACTAATGATTTTTTTTTGGGATATATAACATCTTTCCACCACCAAATTAAATGTTTTTCTTTAATAATTCGGAATCTTCCTTTTCTTAAAAAGATAAGGTCCCGAATAATATGGATATCAATATTGTCATACAAGATTTGTGCTACTTTACGCTTCACACACTTAAAAATTCCAATTTATATAGTCTCTTTTATCTCTTTAAGACAAAGAAGTTTATCCTAATGCCAAAACTGTAGTTTTATACTACATGTTTCATATAACAAACCCTTCACTTTTAAAGAATTTCAAACAAAATGTTAACTTTCATTAAAATCTTCACTCTTGTTTCGATCCTTCAACACTTAAACAAATTTGTACTTACGCATGTATTTAATATATAATATAGTCTGGGACAGAAGAAATAATAGCAGTGACAAATATCTATAAATAATAAGAGCAATCATTTTGTACAAAATTTCTTGATAGAAGCAGAAAAACGAAAACCTTGGAATTACATGACAGTTGACATGAATGCAAAAATAATTCAAACCTATTTTACATTTCGATAGATACATACAATACTAGTACAGTTTTTGATGATGCTCCACTTTCAAGAAACAACAGATGAAGTTATTGATAGAGTTTCCTCTGTGTTAATTTATTGTTTTGAAAGAGAAGTGAATGTGGATGAGCAAAGATCATAATGATGTGTTTAGAGATTAATGAGGCTGTGAGTGTGAGTGAGTGGTGGAGCGAGGAGGATTGGTGAGCATATGAACGACTTCCCTCATGGTGGGCCTGGCGGGGCCCATTTCCCTAACACACATCATAGCAATGTTGAACATGTAAACGACACTTGTCAATGGATACCCACTCAGCCTTGGATCCACCACTGCCAACACCAACGCTGCATCCGACGGCTGAGATATCTCCATTCTCGTCTTGTTCACCCATCCAACGATGTCCACTCCGTCTCCAAACTCCCCCACCGGCTTCCTCCCTATTATCAGCTCCAACAGCACCACCCCGAAACTGTACACATCGCTTTTCTCGTCCACTTTCAACGTGTATGCATACTCTGTCCACCCATCACAAAAAAAATAATAAAAAAGAGAATAAATATAGTATGACATTTAACTCGTCTAACAAGTATAAAATGGTTTCAAAAAAAGTAAATTTTTATATTTTTTCCAAAAAAAATAAAATAAAGAATGATACTATCAAATGAATATAAAAAATTAAGTAATATAAAGAGCATAAGGATAAAATGTGATAAAAGTATAAATGTTTGTAGTTTTTTTGACAAAGAAGAGAATAAAAAGTAAAAATAGTTGGTAAAAAATTTAAGTATCATGTGAGAATAAAAATTTGTTATATTTATTTGACATTATTTTTTCTTAATTTTTATTCTCTTTTCTTCTTTCTTGATTTTTAACATTTATTTGATATAGTGTGAGACATTTTTACTGAATTTCTAGACTATCATAGTGTACAATTTTAAAATTTAATGACACCTACCACATCAAATAAGTGTATTTATTAGAGTGTCAAGTTACTCATATTTTGAAAATTTATATTTTTAGGATCATCTTATTCTTATTGTATGAGTGTGAAATAAATATAAAAAAAATGTTTTTTCAACAACTTTTTCTCTTGAAAACTTTTTTACAACAATTGATCTATTTGATCTATTTTAAATTTACTGATCAATAAAATACTACCACGTAATTTATTATAAAAAAATTGTTAAAAAAGTTGTTAACATATCCAAACATAAAAGTGTAGTGCGGTAGCATTAGTCACACTAATGTAGTTTTCCATTAAATCAATTAATCAAAATCTACATCAATCATCTTAAAAGTAAGCTAAATTCATATGATCGAGATTATCCATGAAATCATGAATGATGATGTGAATATGAAGTGGTAAAAGAGGATAAATGGAACCTGGAGCAATGTAGCCGTAGGAGCCGGCGATGGAGGACATGGACTGAGAGGCGCCAGGATCGTGGAGGAACTTGGCGAGTCCGAAATCGGCGACATGGGCCTCGAAGTCGGCGTCGAGCAATATATTGTTGGATTTGACGTCTCTGTGAATGATGAGAGGAGAACAATCATGGTGCAAGTAACAGAGTCCTCTTGCAGCTTCAACTGCAATCTTGAACCTCATCTCCCATCTTAAATGCCCTCCTTTCGCTCCATGCAGCCATTCCCCTAAGCTTCCATTCGGCATGTACTCGTAGAGCAGCAAGTTCGTCTCCTTGTTCGACACGTAACCCAGAAGCCTCATTATGTTCCTGTGCCTTATCTTCCCCAGCGTCGTTATCTCCGCCCTGAACCCGTAATCGTTCCTCCCGCTACCCGCCCCGACCAACCGCTTTATGGCCACGTCGCTTCCGTTCGGCATAGACCCCCGGTACACGATCCCCGCGCCTCCTTTTCCTATTATGTTCTCCTCCTTCAGACACTCCACCACGTCCTCCGCTTTCAAGTTCAGCCGCTGGAACGCCGTCAGCTTCCACGTCATCGCCCGGAGCAGCTTCCTCCTTCGCATCATGTACACCGTCACTGCCACCAGCAGCGCTGCGGTGGCTAGTGCAATCACGCTTATTATCACCCTCGTCGATTTCGAACTCCATGAGCCTCGCCTTTTCTGGAAGGCGTCGTCTGGGTACATGGAGGAACTGGTGCAAGAGCGGGAGGAACAGAGATTGGGGTTCCCCGCGAAGGACCTGTCGCTGAAGGCCAAAAACTGACCGCCGGTTGGGAGCTTGCCGTTGAAATTGTTGTAGGAGAGATCCAGCGTTGTGAGGCTAGACATGAAGCGAATCTCGTCGGGGATTGGTCCTGTTAGCAGGTTTTGAGAAACATTTAAAACGCTCAAGCTCGTCAGGTTTTTTATGCCCTTGGGAATCTCCCCCACCAGCATGTTCCGACTGAGGTCAACGAAGTTGAGTGAAACGCAGTGAATCAACGTCGTGGGGATTTCTCCCGTGAGATTGTTGCCGCTTATGTTGACGGAGGTCAGTATCGGTAAGACAAAAACCTCCGCCGGGATTTCTCCAACGAACTCGTTGGCGTCGAGTGAGAGTGTCTGCAGTGCCCTCAAGTTCTTCAAGGCCGGTTGAATTCTCCCCGTCAGTAAGTTGTTGGAAAGCGTGAGAATCCCGAGAGAATCGCCGGAAATCTCGGGAGGTAGTTCGCCGTCGAAACGGTTGTTGGCGAGCTCGATTATTTTGACGGAAGGCAGTTTGAAAATTCCCGACGGAATGGCGCCGCTAAGGTAGTTATTGGAGGCTCTGATCTTGACGAGTGACTTGCAGTTTCCAATGTCATCGGGGATTGGACCGTGGAAGAAGTTATCGGTGATGACGAAGGTTTGTAACATCCCACTCTTGCACAGACCCGGAGGGATCAACCCGGTGAAGTGATTGCTCGTGACGTCGAAGAACTTGAACTTCCCGTTTTGGCCAAGATTCTGGGGCAGCACGAAGGACAAGTTGTTCTCCCAGAGCTGCAGCGTTTCCAGATTCGGAAGCTCGCCGACGAAGAGGGGAACAGAACCACGCAGCTTGTTGTGGAAGAAGTTCATCAGAGTTAGGTTTCTCAGCTGGGAGAAACTCTCAGGAATCTCTCCGGTGAGACCGTTGAAGGAGAGATCCATTGACATGAGGCTCTCCATGGCAGAGAGTTCCGAAGGAATAGTTCCTGTGAGGTTGTTCATTTGCAAGAACAACGTGTCAAGGTTCTTTAAACTGCTCAGGCTCGGTGGAATCTCTCCGCTGAGGTTGCAGCTGGAGAGGTCAAGGTATTTCAGTGATTTCATGGCTCCGAACTCCGGTGGGATCCCACCTTCGTAAGCGTTGTTGTATCCAAGTTTTAGAAACTTCAGCGTCTTCAACCGAGACAAACTCTTGGGAATCTTCCCCGACAGACTGTTAGTGCTTAAGCTTAAAAACTCCAAGCACCCAAACTCCGAGTATCTCTCCGGTATGCTGCCGGAAAAGTAATTTCCATCGAGCTTGAGGTATCGGAGTTTCTCCAGTTTCACGAATTCCTCCGGAAGCGGTCCGGTGAAGTTGTTGTCGTAGGCGTCGAGGACCTCGAGTTGGGTCATGGGAAGAACGATTTGGCCGGGGAAACCACCGGAGAAGCTGTTGTGGGAGATGTTGAGGAGCTTGAGGGAAGCGAGGGCAGCGAGCTCCTTGGGAAGCTCGCCGGTGAGGTTGTCCTGCGAGATGGTTAGGTTTTGGAGTTTGTCAAACTGTCCAATCTCCGGCGGAAGGTGGCCGAAGAGTGGAAGGGACGAGACGTTGATGGCAACGACTCGAAGGTCTTGGTCGCATTGGACGCCAGAAAATGAACAGTGTGCGGAAAGCGAGGTGGAAAACTTCCAGTCGCTGAGCGCATCTTCTTTGGCTTTGTGTCCCTTCATGGAGTCCTTCATCTTCAGCAGCGCATCCATGTCACTGAAAGAAGAACACTCGGCCAGGCGGAACCATACGAAAAGAAACAACAGTAGCGTGTAAGACGCTGAGCTTCTCATGTCTGTGTTGCTTCCTACTACTACTACTCCCTTTCTCATATACCTTTGCCAAATGCATACATTTGGCTGCCTCCTTCTTTTGACACCACACACCTCCTCCTGTCTGCTATAAATATTATGTGTAGATATTTAATCAAATACCATGTGTGCATGGTGACATCGCATGCAATCAATGATAAACGTTCTTCCAAGTGGATGCCCTGAAAAATATAAAGAAAAAAGAATATTAATATGAAGCACCAGTAGCTGCACGAGATCCACTATAAGCTTGTGAAACATCAAAGTATAATTATGTTTGAAGAAAATTGTATACCAATTTTCTAATGTAGATTAATTATATATTATATATATATTGATTTTAGTGGTGGGTGAGGTCCTACCAGCAATTAGTCTAGGGGAGAAAGTTTATGCAAAGCTTGTCAAATCTTTTTATTCGGTACGTATATATCAAGTTAATTATTCTTGGTATATTAATTGTATTTTATAATATGACTGTAATATTCTTACACTCTACTAATTAAACATTTTGATGATGAAATATGCTTGGCTCACCACTAGCAGCCGAGTCAGCTGGAAGGTGGAGTTAGCTTTTGTGAACACAAAGATGCAAAATTTCTTTCTCACCATTTATGGAGGTCTAATCTTTTGATGAGCCTAACTTTGGAATGAAACGAAAGTGATTTTACGTGATGCACCAAATGGAAAAAGGGAATAAAAGAAAGTTCCTTTACGTAGAAGTCTTCTTAGCTACTGTTCTTTGCTATATCACATGGATAATTATTGCCTATGGCAAAGCGAAGCATCAATTCCGTGTTTTAAGTTGTTCTGTCAACGATCAAGAACCAGATATATTGCAGAATCGTATTCTATGCAAATGCATGACGATTAATGGATATGAATCAATAACATTTTAAAGCAAATTCTGTTCTAAACATTAAGCTAAATGCAAATTACCATTTTGGAGTTTTTAGAAGAGAATCAACACAAACTAGATGATATAAATGTAGATAAGTACAAGTTATTACAACTGGACTTTTCATGCATGTTCCCTTTTCTGCATGTACTGTTTTAAGATCGGGATGCAAAGAGGGTTAACACACATGATGGTGGTAACGATAAGATATATTATATGCTTTGAGTCTGATCAGATGTATGATCTATTTATATTATATAAATGGATATAAAACTTATCTTATAAATCAAGTTTTGTGGGATTAGTTAGATTTAAAGTCTATTATTTAACGTGATAATTTATTTTGGTTACCGACTTGGACGAATGCCTTATCCTTCTGTCAAAACTCTTAATATATAATGTGTATATTGAAAATGAGACTTTTGTTTATATAAAGAGTTATCTAATTTCTCATATTTTCAATTTTATACATGTTCTTAATATTTTTTCTTATTAGGGATTCCTCAAAATTGTCGTAGCTTTTGTTGTGTATTTGGGTGGATTGTAGCTACTTTAGATTATTCGTATTTGGCATATAAAAAAAAAAACTCAAAGAACATTGATAAAAGAAAATAGCTAGAGACAAGTTTTTTCTTTCATTGAATGGTTAAAAAAGTGTTAGAAGGTCAAGATTCTTACAGCATGATGCTTATTATTAGATAGTTTTTGAAATTGGTAGGCACTGATAAACGGAAGAGTGGTACATGATTCTCAAAAAGTGTTGAATAATTGTGGTTTGTCAACTCCTATGATGATAGCGACAGTGAGTTAGTGTTGTTGAAGTGCCCACAAAAATCTCATATCATTGGCCCTTTTGGTTACTTCGTCTTTTACGTGGCAGACAGTGTTAATTCTCTAAGCCTAATTAACTTCTATATTTAATTATTTCACTCTATAGTTTTTAAATATCCAGTTGAATCCAACAACACATTATTTGCTAAAGATACACTCTATATTTACTGATATGTCCTGATTTTCTTTTTCTCTTAATTGAGTAAAACGTTTGGTAGGAAATAAACCACTTATTTCAAGAAATTTTAATATGTAGAATAGTTAAAATTGCACTCATGGTTATTATATAGGCTTTTCAGTGTTCAGAGATAAATATGAATATAATTATCATTGGTTGAGTGGTTGGACTATGTATAATGTGTTGAATTGGTAAAAAGTATACATTATTAAGAAATACTTGAGTTTTTATTTGTTAATATAATTGATAAAATCATTAATTTGTCGGTTGATAATAAATATATTTTTTATATAGCTAGATGTGGGAAGGTACAGCCTTTAAGCAACTTAAATATTTTGTTATACTTAGGAGTTACTCTACTTGCTAATCTAATCAAGGTATAGGAAAAAATTTAAGAGAAAAATAAGACAAAAATGATAAAAAATATGTTGGGTTAGGCTTATCGATAAATTCGTTTTATCGATAATGGTTAAGATAAGTTGCAATTTATGGTTCTCCAATTTTTTTGTTAGGAAACTGTTTTCTTTGGATAGGAATTTTTTATTAGTTTATAATTTGTAATAATTTTTTTTATCGCTGTTACCATTATTATTATAGTTAAAAAAATAGGAGATAAATATTTAATTTTTGGGTGTTTTTTAATTCCATTCTATGTATTTACAATTTGTTATTCTGCTTAAGATTATAATTAAGGTTTTTTTAATATAGTATCTTATTTTTCTTTATTATTTAATTAATTATTTTGATTATTGTGTTGATTAAATTAAATTTAAAAATAATAACTCGAAGAGGTCTTCAAACTCCACATTTTTATATTTTCATTTCATTCAATAAATCCGGAGGCACAGACTATTAGTCGAATTAATAAAATGTTTACCAAATACACAATTTTTAATTCGAGTGTAAGCAAATAAATATTCACTCATATACAATCATCAAATCTTAAATCGACAAAAGTCTACAACTATATAATTTTTCAGTTTTTTAAGTATATGATGACAAAAATTTGACACCAATATTATATATTTAAGTCCTACATTAAGTAAATAAAAAATTATTTTATAAGAATTTAAATGATGATTTAAGTTTTATATTAAATAAAGATAAGAAAATATTTTGTAAGATAGAAGATTTTTGAAAGATTGTCAGTAATATAAAAATAATTGTTTTATGATGAAATCATATGAATATAATATAGTCAAATAATCAATTAATAACTATCTAACAATTTCTCTTGATCATTTACTCTTTTATAATTATTTTACTTCTTTTCATTCATTACTTAAATATTGATTTTAAATATTTTGGATTTTAATATGTTGTTTTGATATCTCGATTTTTTTATTAGTTTAATCGTGTCACGTTTTATCTTATTTTATTATTTACTTATTTTATCTTTTACGTGCTAACATTTTTTCATTCCTTACATGGGTCATGAGGACACATAGTTCATGAGCAATGAAGAACACAAGAGAATATATAAGTCGTTAGGTTGATTAAGAAAATAATTAAGAATCCACAAAAAGTATATACATATAATAACACCACCTATTAGATTATAAAGATATGAATATTTTTTTATTTTCATTATTTTTTATTTAAATAAATAGTAATAATTTTCGGAATAATATTTTTATAATAACATATTCATTGTGTATAACATTAATTTAATTTAAAATTGATGGCAGATAGTAATACCTTGAACTAAAAACTATAGAAAATAAAACTACATACTTTTTACCGAATATTGCAGAATTTTTTCACTTCTCTACTTTGTTTGAATTTGCTTCCAAATTTAAAAAAAAAATGTCGAGAAGTACTTCTCCAACAACATAATAGAGGTTATTATAATGTTCTTACGAAGAAAATCTCAAGACAAAAGGTTTTAAAGGGGAATTTTTGTAAGTAAATGTAAATGTGTATAAAGTTAAATATTTTTGGTATATTTTTTAATAAGACTAATGTATTCTTACATTTTTAATGTGTATTAGGTGGCCATGCACTTCACAATCTTTTTCAAGTCAAAGATGCAGTTTATATTCCTGACATTTGTGGAGGTTTCAATTTGGAATGAAACAAAAATTGCTTCACGTAATTCAGCAAATTTAAGAAAAAAAAAAGAATAAAAGAAAGTTTTTCTTACTTGGAAGTTTCCTAGTTTCTGTTTTGTGTATAAGTGTGATACTTACTGCTGTGGAAAAACCAAAGCATAATAAGTTCTACGATAACACATTTTACATTTATTTGATATATAATATACAGTTTAAATGCTCATAAAATAATAAAATTTTATATTTTAAAAAAATGATAGTATAAAATAAATATAAAAAATTTATATATATCAAAATATCATTTTTCTTTTGTTTAAGTTGTTCTATCAAATATCAAACACTAACAATAGTGTAGGATCTTATTCTATTTGTGTCACATTATTCATTTCAAATGGTTTGGCACCAAACATTGCCATTTAAAAATGTAAATCTCCATTGTCTTAAGGAGGAAAACATTCCAAAAATAAAATAAGTCATTTTTCAAGAATATGTTTCTTAGTAAAATTATTGGAGTTTTCTAAACTTCTTGTAGTTAGAAACACGTTATCGAGGACAATATTTTCTTCGTTTACCATGCATTTTCTTTCGACGTTTGTTTTCTTCTTTTATTCTTCGTTTTGTACAAGGTCCAGATTCTCACACAGTGACAAGAAAAGCTTCATGCCAGTGACCATAAACACTCTGATTAGAATGATTAAAATGAATTTGAAATGCTTCAAAGATTTAAGTTGGTTCAACTTTTCTTAAGTTTGATTATTTGCTCCACATTTTTTATCAAAAGATATAATCTGAGTTACAAATACTATATAAAGTTAAAATGAAGTAAAATCGATGTACCCTAATATTTGTCATTCCACAACATAACGCAAAAAAATGCTCAAAAATTGAATAAAGTATAACTAATACCATATCACAACATTAACGGCTAATAAAAGTACAAATTATGGAGTTACAGAATAAAATTGGACTGAAATAGTCAACTAAAAAATTAAAGAAAATTGACGACACTACATTAGTTAATTAGTCTATAGAATTGTCATGTCATAGATTAAACATTTGCTGCTAAAGCAAACTTTCAGTAAATGATATTTTAATTTTCATGTATCTTATAACTAACAAATTTCGATAAAAAAAAAGTTTAAATATTTGTGTTGATTTTGTTATGGTGAAAAATATTCGTAATTGAAGTTTTATATGTTGATAATATTTTAATTTATATGTAATGTCTGAAATCACGTGAACGAAAACTAAGTTTGTGACCTAAGCATACATATTTGAGAGTTTAATGAATGTCACACCATACATGCATTTAACTGGTGTTAGATTTACCATTAAAACGTTGGTTCGACACTAAGGTGCTTCTCCAAAAAATTACTAGAAAGCCACAGAAATATCAAAGAATTTGAAGACTCTACAATTACATTACCACTCACATGACAAATTGAACATTTTTATAATTTAAAAAAAACATATACCCTCAGTAACTGAAGTAAAACCACAATCCTCTGTATGAACAAGCTAGTTAAGGTTTTGGGCTTAACAAACCAAAAATGATGTAAGAAGCCCTGCAAATACTACAGCTCATAACCTACCACAGAAAGGAGCGAGCGACTAGCGATGTTGGACATGTGAAAATAGAATTACAAAAGGTAGATCACAGCATCTTCGATGATTCACAAACATGATAGCATCAAATTATCACTCAAGTCCGGAAAGAAGGAATGTATCCCATTAAAAAATAATAAGGATGTATATAAGGCTACAAGTTGCATAAAAATGAAAACAAAAATTTTACCGAACAAACTACCGACCTGCCAGAAGTATACAAAAATGGTTGTCATTCACCAGATTAGTAGATGACTACACCGCTATTAAACTTTAGTTTTCAGTTTTCTTTTTTTTTCCTTTCTTCTTGCTTGGCATTTCAGGAGATTCTTCTTGCTCTGCATGCTTTTTCCGTTTTTTCTTCTTCTCTCCTGCATTCATGTCTCCATTCCCATTCTGCAACTCAGTACTCTCACTAGCCTCCTTCCTTTTCTTCTTCTTTTCTTTCTTCTCAACTTCGGGTTCTGGCTCCTCAGCAACATCAGCTTGAACAGTTGGTTCCTCTTCATTTTTCCCCTTCTTTTTCTTCTTTTCCTTCTTTTCTTTCTTTTTATCAGCAACAGAAGCCTCTTGTTTATCCTCATCCATGGCGGAATCGACAATTTGTCCGATAATTGAATCAGCCGAAGCATTATATGTCTACAAGGAAAACGACAATCAGCATAGACAGAAAATAAAATTGAAGTTATTAACAACACCATAAGGAACAAGAAACAAACCTTAGCCGGGGTGATCAGTCCTCCCGCTCCTTTCTTTCTGTCCTTGTCATATGCTTCTATCTTAGGTTTTCCCTTAGCAGAACCGGCAAAACGACCCAACTCTTTGCCTTCAAGGTTCCTCAATCGCGCCTCAAGCTGCAGAAAAAACTTGTTAAAAGTAGGAAAAAAAAAAAA